GGAACACTCAGACCAGGAACACTCGGACCAGGAACACTCGGACCAGGAACACTCGGACCAGGAACACTCGGACCAGGAACACTCGGACCAGGAACACTAGGACGAGGAACACTCGGACGGGAAATTTTGTCGCTGTTGCTAATTTTAAGATCGGGAAAGAGTTGAATGCTTCTAATCTTCATTTTCTTTCTTAAGGCGTTAATGTCAACATTCTTACATCTGTCAACATTCCTACAAATGTCAACATTCTTACAAATGTCAACATTCGTACAAATTTCAATAATTAGACTATTTTGTGTGGGATTAATTTTACTGAGTATCTTTTTATGGATTGAATAGACCAATAAAAACGCGATTGAATTACCCACACGCGTTTCATTCACACCTCACCGTCAGCCTTCGAAGGCGAGGAATGAACGCCATTATAGGTACAGTCGCCGCTGACCTGGCGACTGTACAGTGTACATGCAGTGTCCCCGTCTGTATCATTAGTATTCATAAGAAAAATAATAAAGAACATATGATTCAAAATAAGATTTCCTCTCATTAGAACGCAATTACTAACAATATCCAATAATTTGCTCTCTGTTAGCCGGGGAGGAAAACAAAGTATTGTCACCTTCTATATGTTCTAATGAAGGTTAAATCGTATTTTTTGGAAATGTGAAAATACGTAGGACGTATGTTTTGGCTTATATTGAAATGTTCATAGAAGCAAATTACATTTGGTCTCGTGGGTCTATTTTTTGACCAGGAAATGAAATTTTAATCAAAAGAGCTTTACATCCAATGTGTCAAATAATTTTGATGAACGCAAAATAAAATATAAAAAGGCACTAAGTGAAAGCTAATGGCTTAATTCAATATGCATTTTATTCATACCTAATCCGTCATTAAATAATAAACAAAGCTGAGCGAGGATATGACATTCTTTCGTAGTTATTAGTACGCCCTCAGCCTGCGTCGCACCAGACAGGCGACCTGCGCCCTCAGCCCTGTCTCTTATACACATCTAGATGTGTATAAGAGACAGGGTGCAGGCTGCGTGATGCGGAGCTGCCGCCGCTGCTGCGGGCNGGGGTCGAAGGGGTCAATAAATTGATGGGGGTCGAAGGGGTCAATAAATTGATAGGGTTCGAAAGAGGTCAATAAATTTAGAGGGGTTGACAAAGAAAATGTAAAAAAAATTTATTAGGCGTCCATATATACTTTTAAGGATAACTTATAATTTTCCTGAATAACAAAATTTTGACCTGGCAACTGCCCTGCCAGAAGAAAGGCTTAAATCCTTCTAGCCACTCTAGAGGATGTCATGGGTCATTTCCAAGAGCCTCAGCAAGACGCAAAATGAGCGCCATGCCAGTCAGAATTTTTATTTTTTAATAAAACCAGACGTTTTTCTTCCATTTTCCAAGGCCGATATGAACAAAAGCAAATTTTACAAATTTCCGATTCACTTCCACTAAAAATTGAATGAGTTTCCCTGCGCTCGAGTGATACACCATCATGAGTGCATGAAAAGTTCGCACAAATCTCTCGTTGTTTAACTTCTTTCTTGGCTACAGGCAAGCGACATTTGCTACATTAGCCTTGAAGTTCGGGTAAATGGCCATTAGTGTTCAGGTCACTAGATACCTTAAACAATAATTGTAATGCGATAAACATTTTAATATATTATGCCAATTTCTAGTATTCACATAACTGACACTAAAGACGGGATGAATCGACCAAAGTTTGGAACTCTGTCTTGTTTTATGAAAAATCTAACTATATTGCCTCACTCATTCGCTTGTGTCGAAAGGATTTTTTTCGCTCGTTAACCATGTGAAAACAAAGCTCGCTTAAAACTGCGACAGTGATAGACAGATTATTAGCACGGCAGTTTCTTGCGAGGAAGCAACAGAATTGCTAAACATGGAAGCCGAAACAAGAGTTGATGAAAGACGTTGTAGATGAAACCTGCTTCTACGATATGAACAGCGTCTTAAACAAATAAACAGAGAGAACATAAATTTAGCACCAGCCGAAGATTTATAATTCCATCAGAAGTAAGTAAAATGACAATGTTTTTGATAAAATTTGTTGTCTGTTTTTTTTTTAAATCTGCAGAATCTGGGTGTTTTTCAGCAACCATCTAAGTTTTTCTCAAATTATTGGCTGGGAGCTTGCCTTTCAAGCCCGGCACTATCCTTGTTGCGCGTTTTTGAACACTATTAAATTTTTGTCCTTTTCAAATTTCGGTGATAACACGACGTTTCCAAACTCTAGGTTCGGGCGCACGAAAGCAACAAACAACTGCTTCATCGCTTCTGCATTTAGGAATTCGAAAGAGCGTCTGATCAGTCCAAGTCGTTTATTGGCTTTATTAACTTGACCTTCAATATGCGTAGAAAATTTCAACTCATTATCGATATTAACTCCTAAATCTTTTTCCATTGTCGACTTCGACATCATCACTCTGTCGTTGCAACCATGTCTTCTCATACTGTAATCTTGCTGTTCATTATTCTTGCCAAGGTGTACTTATTCGCGAGACAATAGGAGAAGCATAAAGAGGTGCAGCAAAGTGGTTACTTGGAACACTGTAACCGTAAACGAGTTACGGATCAGCGTTTTTCGGTATAGTAAGACAGTTCAAACGGCGATACGAGACATTTAATTTTAAAACAATGGATTCAACTCGTGCGCATTAATATTCAACATCTATTTGAAAGTCCATGTCTGTTGTGTAGCAGTAATTCTGTTCATGATAGGATGTCCTGGATTTCCCTACTATAATAATTAATGTGATGTATTATTTTAACCACCATAAACTCGAGGTAGATTCCATGATGAATCCTAAATACAATGATTAATTTAATGCAAAACATTTGGAAGAATGAAGTATATAAAATATCAATATATTCCAAATGAAGAAAACAAGCATTATACAGGTTTATCTTCTTACGGAAGAAAGGCTTTCCGAGGCGCATGTATTTTGGATACCGCAGTCGCCAACAAAAAAAAACAGCTTACACTTCAAAACTGATTTTTTGACATCTTAATCTCTACAAACTGATGAAAAAACATATTTTGAGCCGGATAACTAAGAATGGCTGTACCCATATAGTAAGAATGACTTGAATGACCAACTATCTGAGATACTTTTAATTCATATATTTCTAATTATGAAAGAATAAAAGTATAAGAAAAAATAGAAAGCTCGCAACGAGACCATAATCAACTTGCAGCCAAACGAAGTAAATCGCGCTAGCTTCGATGAGGACGGTTTAGGAGACGTAGCCAAGGAAGAAGTGGAAAGATTGAGAAAACGTTTGTTTGGAGATCAATAAACGTCAATTCTTGAAGAATTTAATAGACAGAGCATAATGATCTAACTGATAATTATGATAATCGGTTTTACCATCCTCGCATTATTTCTCTTGGTTTTAGCAGCTCAACAACAGACTAAAAACGAACTTGCCGAATAGTAGATCACTTCCAGTGATAAACGACTCGAGCTAAGATAGAAATTAGTGTAACGTCATGGAGAAGTGCCTGTACTAGCGATAATTGCAATCGATCACGCACAGTCCGATGAGCAAAGAGCAGCCCTAAAATAACAAGCGTCCAGCGTGCAGCAAGAAGTGTAATCTCACTACATATAACTACGGATTTAGTGTTCCGGCGAGTTTATAGCTCCTGCTGAGAACGTTACCATTTGTCAACGCTACAAAGGACTGTGTTGCAACTTCGCGGAGAGTAACGACGGATTTCACAGAGACTTGCAGGTGACGTGGGACTATGGAATGGCTTTTGAGGAGAGCACAGCTTGTGGACTTTGTTATGATGGACCAGCGATCTGGACCCCGCAGAATGAGATTACAGACATGGCGCAGTCAAGAAATAACTCTGAAAACAGGCAAAGGCTGGAAAATTCTCTCAATAACTGGATGAAAAATAATAACTTGACGGGGAATACAGCTTCAGATATAACGAGGTTTTTAATATCGACGCTTCCGTGACAGGATGCGAGATAGCATATTTGGCTCGATTTACTACATCTGTAATATACTAAGTGTCGCCGGAAATTACTTCAAGTTTTAAAATGTGAAAACACACTCCTATAAATGGTACTTAGTTGAATAGTTTGAATGAAACAATGTTTCTTGAAGTGGTTTTCCTTCATCATGTCCTGTTACAATGGTAATATAAAAACTAATGATGTATGTCAAAAGAGATCAAACAAGCTTCAGACTAATCATAGTATCACACATTATGACAACAATGCAAAATGAATCTTGCTAACGCTTAAGTTTAGAATATATAAATAAAATACGGGCTATCTTAAATCGAAAAATGACGTCTTTATACTTATGAAACTAAATAGACGATTATGACCCGACTTTTTGCAACAAACCGAAAAAATGAACGATCTCATCTTATTCATTTATCAATGCGAGAGAAATAATACGTGCGTTGGCAGAATTTACACTAAAAAAATTTCATAACTGAAAATTTTAAATAAGTCACAATTATGTGTCACGACGATTGGAAGTTTACGTTTTCAAACACTACAATTTACCTACTGTAATATTTTACAAATTCTTCACAATGGACCTTCAAACGAAGATAAACCACAGTTCTGATCAAAATGGCCATAACTAAACAATAAGGAATTTTTGACTACCGGTACGTATTATTTATCTCACACAAAATTACTTTCAAAGTTAACTTTTTCCTTATGTTAATCTACAACATAATTTAACTGGAGCAACTGATATAAGAAACAACGAGAATCAATTCCATTCAATGAAGGAGGATCATAACGTTCAATAGAATTAATCAACAATAAAAACTGTCTTATAAAATGCTGTGGTTATAAAAAAGAAAAAACAACACTGACAGTTCTACAGGACACATAATTGTTCTTTCAAAAGTTATCAATCAGAGTAATCGTCTTCACCTTCAGGTTCTAATAAACTTCTTAAATCGTCATCAACCTCTTCTTCCCCCACCTCATCCTCCTCCCGATCATCTTCATCCATATCACCCTCGATATCGTCATTCTCCACAATTTGAGCGGGAACTTCATCAGCTTTGATTTTCTTGGACACGGGTTCCTCGTCATAGTCGTCGAGATCATCGTGCAGGCTCAAGTCTTTATTGATGGCCTCTTGCGGAGTTCGCTCTCCTGTCAAAGACTGCATTATTTCCGTGAGCTTCTCAGGCAACGGCGCGTGCGAGGCGTTCGATTTTTTGCTCGAGCGGCTGGACCGCGATGGCACCAAGCTCCGTGTCTCACCAACGTGGTCGCTCTCGCCGTTTAAGTTCTTCAGAACGCTATAGTCGATTTTGTTGGATAGTTTTTTGGCCTTGATAAGTCGCTCCATTGCCTCACCAGCTGTATTCGCTGGAGGGTCGTTAGTTCCTTTCTTCCTGTAAGGTTTCCGCTTCTTCACAGGCTTACCTTCTTTTATTCGTTGTTCTTCCTCTAATCGTTCTTGCTCTCTCTTCTTCTCTTGTTCTTCCAGAAATTCTTTATTGACATCTAGCCATAAATTTGTTTTTGCTTCTTTCTCTCGATCAGTGAGAATGTAAGAGTCGATTTCATCTTCATCAATACCTTCCAAATCAAGCAAATCAGATTCAGGAGGCTCTGGCTCAGACGGTCTCACCTCCATGCTCTCCTCTATTGTCTGCTTAAGACCGAGGCTGGCAGTGGTGGGCAAAATCTCGCGAGGAGTTCCAGAATCTTCGTAGCAGTTAGAATCTTGTTCCAGACACTCTTGTATTGAATCTATGGTAGCCTCAGCCATGAATTGTGCGGCGTCACTGTGTTCCCGCGACATTTCTACTCGACTTTCAGTTGTCTCAGGAACAGTGGCAGTCTCGGCGAACAATCCACGTAACCGCTTCTTACGTTCACTCAAAATTCGTTCAATTTCAATCTGTATATCGGTGAATTCATTGTTAAGGTCGTTTTCTTGTGCCATCATTTTCTGTAGCTGCTCTTCTTCTCGTCTTCGTGCAGCTTTGAAAGCTGGAGGATCTTCTGACTGATCTAAATCTGTGTTCATAAACTCATCGAGTGTCAAGTCGCTTGAAGGTGTGCTGCCGAATTCAGTGAGTCGTTTCCGTATGGTAGACTCGTGTACTCTGACCACCTTAATCACATCCTGTATGGTCCTATTGAAGTTATGAAACCTGGCGGCAATGACTAGAGCAGCACCACAGATGCCCGACGGTCGTCGCCCCGTGTGCATCCAATCTTTCTTCATCCTCACGACAAGACGGGATGCAGTGTTTGACACATCGTGTGCTTTGTCGCCAAACTCGAGCTTATGTGAGAACCTTAGAATATAGATACAAGGATCAATAGACTTCATGGAGATGTGAAGAGCTGTGCATATCCGAAGGTATGTCCGACCTAACTCATAGACATCAATTTCAGCTGCATCACTAACATCTATGAGCATATGTGGTGTTTGCTCTTCTCGACATGCCATGTAAACACATGCACCAATGAGGTGCGCACTTTTCCTTCCTCTACACAAACCACGACTCAAGCACATCTTGAAGAAGCCATTGGCGAGACTATCTACGTGCTTACTCAACCCTAAAGACGTTGCTAAGGCTCCTATCTTCTTCTTAGCTTTCTGTAACGTGAGTTCTCGACTCTCCTTTGAAAAAGTACCCTGGCAGCCATTGAACATGGGTCTGGGAGCACTGGAGTCGTGAGCTATGAACTGTCCCATGGCGCTGCTCTGCCCTCGGGAGTTCTCCATGAACTGCAATTCATTGACGATGCTGTTCTCGTCCTGGACCACGCCGCACTCCACGCATATCGTCGCCCCAGTCTTAGGATCCACATCAAACTCCCCAGCCCCGCAGTTCTTGCACTTGTCCACCATCTGATCAGCGCAAGGAATGTGTTAAAGATTAATGTATGCAACAAGACAAACTCACGATTCAATTAGCTATGTAGACTGAACACCTAGTAAATTCAATATGCTATCAATCTTTAAAAGTTCTGCTACAGCAATTTAAACATAATCTCATTTGATTAGGGTGGGTTGAATGCTGAAATCAAACACAGGCACATTTAATGAATCTAGATCAGAAAAATGCTCCAAAAGTCCATAAGTTTTAAAAAACAAACAAAAAGTTTTGCTTGCATCTAAAATCTTATAATTTCTAACCCTCTATTATTTAGATGATAGGACCAGCAGCTTTAACTCATGCTGTTAGAATGCTTCAAACATTCATTAGATTGTCATAGAGAAGATAATTATTGGAAGACTAAAAATGTTAAACTGAACTAAATTGTGAAGGCCATATATAAATCTATCATTATTATGCTGTAGAGAGGATTTTTAGTTTAGTGGACCATTTCTATTAAATAAAAATTTTGACACTTTGGTATCAAGGTTCACGATCAAGGATTGAAAGGAATTCATTTCTGAATAACACAAGATTGTACTATTTACTCCATTTGAGAATCAAAGGATCAAAATAGCTTAGAACTCAATTCCCAAGAAATTCATAAACTATGAAAACCATACTTTGAAAAGCAAGTCTAACAGTTAATCCATTCATTATTCAGAAAAGTAGACATTGCACACTTCATATCAACAGTTGAAACCAAGAGTTTGTTAAGATTTATTCAATAAATAGAATAATACATTCCATACCTTGTATTCTTGTTTTTAAAAAGAACTTCAAATTCAACTTCCTGGCAGGACACTCAGAGTGCCCGCTTATGATAGATAAGTAAGCAGTAGCAACTGAATTTTCTGTTCAGTCAGACCTTCAGTCTGCACCAACAAAACCACGAATCATCTGAAAAAAAAAACATACATAGTTATACTCCCATTTATCATGTAATGACATGACCTAGACAAATTATGGAAAAATTTACGTAAACCAACCAACTTGGAATATTGAAATATTTTATCATTTATAATATGGAATACTTTAAAAATTTTGGATCAGAATAGAATGAAAATGCAACAAGAACTACAGTATCAGTAAAGTTCTGAAATAAATTAGTCCACTATATTATATGTATGTTAATAATTATATTACGGTATAATACTATATCCCATTTTATTAGTATAGGTATATTATATTGTATAATATTATATTATTTATTTTTGTACATAAATGATGACAATAGTTGTTTCCTTTAAATTATAAACCAGGTATTGTGGAGAAATTTTAGTTGAGTTGCCATTCAAAGACAGATTTTATTCATGTGTGCTCAATGGTGGTAACTGGTAGGTTGAGGCACTAGCATTTTGGGTTAAATTCAAAGATCCAGACCTAGACTAATAAGACACTGCCATAGTCTTGGTCGTATCTCACAAGCCTAACTAACTCAGAGGGCGCTTCCTTAAGGGGAGCATCTTGAGAAAAATGTATCTTGGAAATTTACAGATGGATCACTTTGAAACTTGGTACACATGTGTAAAACAGAAATGTAAGACTTTTTTGTTCTTGTCAATTTTTTTGAACACTAATGAAAATGAGAAACTCCTAGAAAATGGCTAAAAAGTGGGGTACTGTAGAAATCTATCTCCTACTGAGATTTTCAAGCTACACAATCAAGACGCATATAATTGGATGCGTAACAACCCTATCTATCGATTGGTTGTAGCTTTTTCCAAAATTAGAATTTTTGTGGGTGGGGGGGGGCATTTTTCATAAATTTTGCAATAAATTCTTCAATTCCCTCCCCCTTTTTTTCAAAATATTTTCAAAACTATAACAAAATTGAAAAAAAGCTACCACCATCCTCTAGATCTATTATTTGCAAATTGAATGGTCTATCTCTCAATTCTGTAGCTTCAGAACTGTAGGAGGAGATAGTTTCCCACTGACAAGTAGTGCAAATGTTCAGGAGAGGGCAACAAAGCCCCGAGGCTGCTATATAAAGGCATTCAAGGTAGCAACTAGCAAGGATACCAGGCATGGTTTTACTTGATCTCAAATTCAGTCACAGAGAGAGAGAACGACTGCATGAGCACCCTTCCACATGACTGCTACTGGGTAACTGAAGTACAGCATCCACAGATGTTAGTCTTATGTACCCTGGCAGCTAATTTTCCCCGTAACATATATCCCTTTACGCCCTGGCGTGACGAATTCGTCACACAGAAAAAAACATCAGTTTTCCAACAATTTCACGTTTTCTGTCATTTTTTCGAAAAATTCACAGGAATAAAAAAAGTCTTAGATTTATTTTTTACATATATGTACCAAGTTTCAAAGTTATCTGTCGGTAAGTAACCGAAATAAAATTTCCAATTTCCAATGGCAATGTCCAATTTCTTATGGAAATTCTATTTCGGTTAATTATCGACAGATAACTTTGAAACTTGGTACACATATGTAAATGCCCATATTAAATGTTAAAGAACTCCCCCAACCCTAACCCTTTCACGAACTGTCGTCAGGGCATAAATCAACGTACAGAGACGATTTTGGTACCGTTGGATAGGTCAGAATGTCAGCTTTGAAGTGAGACTTAAAACCAAAAAAGTGAATTTTACGATTTTCATCCCAGAAATTCAGGGCGTAAAGGGATGGATATATAATGTGAAAGAGCTCCATGACACCTAACCCATTTGCGATCTGTTGTGAATGCATAAATCAACATACAGAGACAATTTTAATACCATTGGATAGGTCAGAATGTCAGCTTCAAGATGAGCATAAAAACAGGAAAAATCTAAATTTGAGATTTTTGGCCCAGATGCTCCCCCAAGTCAGGCGGTAAAGGGTTAATATTAACCCTTTAATATTCTGCAATGGCTATTTAGTCATGGCAGAATTCTAGGAATTGGTTGGTCAATTAGATCCACCAAGATCTCTGTTTTGCTCCTACCCTTCTCGCCCAACTGGGAGCAAACTGCTGCAAAAAAAAAAAGGTTCCTGAGTCTGATTGTATAGATATGAATCCTTTCCCTGAGTCTGATTGTATAGATTACTGATTACTACATAGTACTTATTTACATGTTTCATGTACTGCATTCTGGATACTTATTTAATACATAGGTCATGTATACAATTTTCTTTAAGGGGAGCATCTGGGTCCCAGAAAAACTTTTTTATTTATGGACAGATCACTTTGAAACTTGGTACACATGTGTAAAACCGAAATCTAAGACTTTTTTGTACGTGTAAATGTTTTTGAAAATATAAAAGAAAACATGAAATTCTTAGAAAAGGCCAAGAAGGGTGTACCGTATAATGGGGTTACTTTGACCGGCAGGGTATCTTTGACCACTTTTCATTTTTTTAACAAAAACCCCCAAAACTCAAAAACGATTTGACATAGAAAAATTTTGTCAATGGCCATCAAAGGCAAAATACTGAGGCTACGTAACACAATAGAAAGATTTAAAAAGTTCGCAAATCTAATAGGTTAAAAAATTAATAATGTGACCCACGAAAAAGAGCTATTATTTAAAGCCTGTCGGAGTACCCCCCTTTAATTTTTTTTATTTTTTGGTAAAATAACTCCAGATTTTGATGCATTGTAGTAGAACTCTTCTAGTTACATATGAAAAAGACAAATTTTAGGAAAGTGTCATAGATTGCAAATGGGGGGTGCTGCCCCCCAAAGGGGGAACTTTGACCACCTAATGGCATCTGTGACGGGGTAACATTGACCGGCTTGGAAATTAAGTTAAAATTACCATAGGTACCTATATAACATATTTTATTTTTTATACACCTATTAATGTTTTTTTATCTATGTTTCAGACTATACAGAGTCTTATATATGGTAATTTTAATTTAATTTTCAAAGTGGTCAATGTTACCCCATCACGGCTGCCATTAGGTGGTCACATTTTGCCCATTGGGGGGTGGTGCCCCCCATTTGCAAACTAAGACACTTTCCTAAAATTTGTCTTTTGCACATGTAACTAGTATAGTTCTACTACAATGCACCACAACCTGGAGTTATTTGGAGTTATTTTACCAAAAAATAAAATTGATTTTACAACCCGGTCAAAGAAACCCCAAGAGCTGGGGTAACACAGACCATCACTTTTTTTGAAATTACATCAAAACTATGAGAGGCAGGAGCCAGCAATTTATGGTGAGTAAAGCTAAAGTATAGACCTGTATTTTGCATGTTTCAATTTAAGTTTAACTTATCTAGTAAAAAAATGGCATCATTTTGAAAAAAATGGTCAATGTTACCCCATTTACGGTACCGTAGAAGAGTATCTCCTCCTAGTATTTTCAAGCTGCTACATTGAGATGCATATCATTCAATGTGCAAAGACCATATCTATCAATTGCCAACAATTGGACTTAGCTTTTTTCAAATTCTCATTTTTGTAGGTGGGAGGCATTTTTTTGTAATTTTTTTTTATTTTCACTGCCACCTCTCTCCTTTCTGCAAAATATTTTCCAAACTAAAATGAAATTTAAAAACAGTCAAGACCAATCTCTAATTCTTTTCTTTGCAAATCAAATGATATGTCTCAATTCTGTAGCTTCAAAACTGTAGGAGATAGGCTTGTAGTGAGAGGAAGTGAAATGTTCAGGAATGTCCAGGAGAGCCGACAAATGGCCGGGCGATTGCACCGCACTAAATATAGCCATTTCCCATAGGCCTTAGCTATGATAGCAATTAACAAAGTTATGCATTCTTTCACTTAGAAGCAAGCAAGTCAGCTGGCTGGAGTCCACTGTGCAGAGAGTGGATGAATATTACAAGATCTTTGGCGACGCTTCAGTAGCAAAATTTATGCCTCCAGAAGATCTTGCTGACGCATTTAGATTGAAATTCTTGCATTTAATATATTTGTCAGTCTTTGGCCAACTATTTAAAAAAAAGTAAGGTTTCCAGTATGTTGAATGGATCAGGATGCAGTGAAGCTTGTCCAGAAATCAGTTGCGATGAGTTCCCGGCAAAAAAAATGTAAACATCAAGTTTATGATTACGTAGTTGTGGTCACATTAGAGCGGTCAGCGGTCAGACTGCATTATCACATGTTCAGTTGACACTTGCTGTACAATTGGAATGTTTTTTGGGTAAAATTAGTTTTTTGGGGTAACACGTGCATGCAACCTTGTAAATAAGTTTGTGGCTTGTAAATAGTTTTCAATACTCAGCCGTCTCAGCAACTCAGCATAAATGGCTTTTCATTCAAAATTACCTGGCAACGCTTTGGGCTTAAAAACCCATATATTGGCGACGCTGCATCCACCCTCTGCACCCTGGGCTGGAGTCAGCAATGTGCCAATGTAGAGAAGTTGAGAACTACTGCATGAACACCTTCCCTTCCCACATGACAGTTTGGGGCCTGGGGCTAGGGGTACCTAAGAGGCTAAGTAAGCTGAACTTCTGAAGCGAAGGTCGTCGAACCAGGCTTAAATGTGCAGCCTGTGCAGGTTCCGTTAATATTCCTAGCAGCTAGCAGGCTAGCTGCTACTGCTAGCAGGGTTTTGTGAAGGACTCAACAAAAGGTAACTCTTTGGGAACCTGTCATCAGTGTCATGAATGATGAATGCATACCTAAATCAACATACAGACTGTAAGTCTGTATACAGTCTACAGAGATGATTTTGGTATGGGTACCGTTGGTGATTTGGTGTTGGATAGGCGGCAGGCCAAAATGTCAGCTTCAAGAATTTCAAGATGAGCATAAATTCCATAAAAACGGGAAACGCTGAAAATTTTTGATTTTGGACCCAGTCTCCCAGTCCCAGGTGGCTAGACCTTGAATGATTTGCGCTAGGTGAGTCCCAGGCTGTTGAGTATGGCCTTTCAGCTCGAGATATCGGCGTCTTTTCAAGCTCTCCATCAGCCACATCGACCTTAAAT